GAACAGTCAAAGACAAGAATAGGAACATCGAAAGAAAACAATAGGGAACAGTCAAAGACAAGAATAGAAACATAGAAAGAAACCCATAGGGAACAGTCAAAGACAAGAATAGGAACATAGAAAGAAAACAATAGGGAATAGTCAAAGATTAGAATAGAAACATAGAAAGAAAACAATAGGGAACAGTCAAAGATAAGAATAGAAACATAGAAAGAAAACAATAGGGAACAGTCAAAGACAAGAATAGGAACATAGAAAGAAAACAATAAGGAACAGTCAAAGACAAGAATAGAAACATAGAAAAAAACCCACAGGGAACAGTCAAAGACAAGAATAGGAACATAGGAAGAAACCCATAGGGAACAGTCAAAGATAAGAATAGAATCATAGAAAGAACCCCATAGGGAACAGTCAAAGATAAGAATAGAAACATAGAAAGAAAACAATAGGGACCAGTAAAAGACAAGAATAGAAATATAGAAAGAAAACAATAGGGAACAGACAAAGACAAGAATAGAAACATAGAAAGAAAACAATAGGGAACAGTCAAGGACAAGAATAGAAACAAAGAAAGAAAACAATAGGGAACAGTCAAAGATAAGAATAGAATCATAGAAAGAAACCCATAGGGAACAGTCAAAGCCAAGAATAGGACAGAGAAAGAAAACAATAGGGAACAGACAAAGACAAGAATAGAAACATAGAAAGAAAACAATAGGGAACAGTCAAAGACAAGAATAGGACAGAGAAAGAAACCAATAGGGAAAAGTCAAAGACAAAAATAGGAACAGAAGAAGAAAACAATAAAAGAAGAGTTCTGGAAGGGACTGTAGCATGAGTTAGTTGTTGATCTGTCAATTTTCCAGGATACAAATGAAGACATCTAGCGACTGTCATTCAGTCCTTGTTATTGTCTTTCAGAATAAATGAACGTTGTGTTCAGATTACTTTCTTGTTTATTGATGTTCTTTTTACAGCTTAGTTTAGCTAAAATAATCGAATATAAAACTCAATGTGCTAAAACTAATCGGTTAACACATTTTCTGCGTGTTTCAATTGTAAAATAATAATAAAATAATCTTTAAGTGTTACGTTTGGATAATAAAACTAATAAGTAAATAAAAAGTCTCGTACCTCTTCTGTATCCTCCAGTATTTTCCGATTCGCGCCAATTTATCTGACTTGCAGCTTCATGCTCTTCGACTGACTGTTGTGAAACACATGACGATACACCTTGCTGACCTTGACCGTCTTGTAGAGTGTCGTCTGCTATTTCATCAATCTGTTCCAAGGTCGTGTGACGAAGGTCGAGGTCGTAAATGGACGCCGTTGTCAAGTTCTCAAGAAGACCTTGATAATATGCTAATTCATCTTCAACTAACGAGTCCAGGGAGCTCAAGGTATTGAGGATGTTTTGAACACTTATGGTTGTCTGTGAGGGGAGGTCATTGCCGTCGTCCAGGTCAGTGATGGTGTCTGTACAGTCTGAAAGTTCAGCTAACATCTGTTTCTTTGCAAGCACGAATTCCGAACTTTCTAATCCCAATACTGCTCCTAACACGATAAAACTATATGAAATGAAACTTATCAACATAAATTCCATTTTGCACATCCTACTTGCTTGGCTTGTTCGATTAATATAAACCGAAATTGGTTCTCTCGCTTTTACAAGGTAAAACTCATGTTAGCTTCTGTGTGTTAGTAAGTTATATGAACATAAGAAGATGATAAACATACAACGAAGAAAATGCAAGCTGATGTTATTCAGCTGTGCTTATTTTGCCAGCCGTCGGTTTGACTGATGTGTATGTTTTTGTTATAAACGGAGCCAGAAAAAATGTAAACACAAACTGACAACTACTTTGTAATTGATGAAATGGATATAGTGAGTGTGCTATGTTCACCTAATAGGTCGGTAATGTTTATAATGCGGTTGCCAGGGTCAATTGCACAGGTGTTACGGAGATATTTTCACATCACACTCCTCTGATTGAAATGTAGTTGAACCAGGTGTTTATATTCCTGGTTTTGTCGAAATTGTTTATGAGGTTATGATCTTTTGGCTCATCAAGAAAACTAGAAATAACAATTTATTTTATCTTATCCAGAAATCACTATGACAGGTATTATTGAGAAAATGTTACATAATTTTTTTCTGATAGAAATGTTGTTTATCTTTTATTGAACATTGTTTTTCTGTCAAAATCATATATTGAGTTATGAACTTGTGAAAAACCAAACTAATAAAATAAAATTAGAGTCAAAGAAAAGTGCTAGCTATGGTCAAACTGTCTCGAAAGCAGATTTGACTTTAGGTTAATTATGTTGAATGGTAGGTGGCACACAGAAAGGTTGTAATATGGTGCACGTGTATGATATACGTTTATTTGATACAGTACCATATTTATGTGCAGTGCCATGAATGCGTCTTAGGTTCATCGTTCGAAATACAAGTATGCCGGTAGATTTTTAGTCCCCGATGTTTGCTGTAACTCTTTTGAGTATTGACACATTCTTTATATTCACACCTTTCTCATTATTATTAATTTGAAATAAACTAGGGTTTTTAAATTTTTGAAATTCATATGGTTAAGGGTGTGTACGCACCTTCCCTTCTGTTTGAACAGTTGTTCACACCCATTTAGATTTCCAACGTTTTGTCCCTAGCATCGTTGATGAGTTCTAGAAGGACGAAACAGGTGTAGCGTTAAGTGTCATTTATTTTTGGCACACTTTCTTTTTAACAAATGTTAAAGGCGCAGTCCCATGTCTGAGTCCCATGTCTGTGCCCTATGTACATCTTAAAAACAAGTAAATAACTAGAGGCATGCTTTCTAAATAATTAAACATAATCTTAGATAAATCTAATAATTAGGTCATCTTTTGAATAGTTTTTTAATATAATTTGAAACATTTTTCGGAAACGTTGTTTCAGGTTTCAACCGTGTCGAATGACTAGAAAACGTTAAAACCTTCTGTTATTGACTAGAAAACGTTAAAAAAAACACCTGCTATTGACTAGAAAACGTTAAAAAACACTGTTATTGACTAGAAAACATTTAAAATCCCTGTTATTGACTAGAAAACATTAAAAATCCCTGCTATTGACTAGAAAACATTAAAATTTCCTGTTAATGACTAAAAAACATTAAAAATCCCTGCAATTGACTAGAAAACATTAAAAAATCCCTGTTACTGACTAGAAAAACTTTAAAAATCCCTGTTATTGACTAGAAAACATTTAAAAATCCCTGTTATCGACTAGAAAACATTAAAAAAAAACTGTTATTGACTAGAAAACATTAAAAATCCCTGTTATTGACTAGAAAACATTAAAAATCCCTGTTATTCCACAACTTTATTCATATTCAGCACCTCCATCATCGATTTATAAACATCCAACAAACTCATCGCTGGCAATAAATTTGTGCATTATCGGAACTGTATTTATCATAGAAATAATAAATATTTATAAACCATGTTTAAATTACTTCCTTTACCATGAATGTTTATATCTAATTTGGTTAACAATAAGTGAAATATCAATTTCTTCATATCTCGATTAAACCGGTGTGGCGTTTTCATTTGTTGCCTATTTTGGTTACACACCAGGTACAATAACAGAAAACGGTTAAAAATGAAAGTTGCGACTGAACAAGGTCATAGAAAATGTATGAAAACTGATATTTTAGAAACAAATCATCACTTTCACACACATGTCTCTTACATAAATTAGATGCCTCAAACAACCAATACAATCACTAAAAACATATTTGTTCAAACTTACTCTATTATTTGGTGTAATTGCTAATGTTCCTGTAACAAACAATACTGTTTTCGTTTTCACGTCTCCCACAGCCACTTCGAGTCATATGGAATCTGTGATTATCCAGACAGACATCTTGATATGTAATTACAATATCGTAAGAACTTGCCTCCGACCGCGGAGATAAATTGGCGAGATTACTCTACGGACGCATCTGTTTATCGCGATCCAAACGGTGGAAGCATACAAGATATAAGAAACTTTATTTAACGTCTCATACAGGTAAACAAGGAACATTAGCTCTAGAGGGCTATTATTGCGACAAAGCAGAGTTGTTCGTTTATGAAATAAGGTCTGGCCTATTTAATGCTGAAAAACTCGAAAATGTTACATTTAAAAACAGACAAACCGGTTGAATACGCGAAAGGGGTTTGCGTGTGTTGGCCAAGTCATCACTGATATCGCTAAACACCACTATCAAAAGGAGAGCCGGTAAAAAGCAAAGCTCTTGTAACAGTATCTATATTATTCAGGATACACACGATCTTAAATGATGAAACCTTCTTTTGAAAGCAGACTTCAAATAATCGCATGTATTGGATTGACGGTTGGAGCGACCATATTAGTTTCTCGATAAAGCCAGGATAAGGCTGAATGTCTCCCGATAATGATATTGAATTAAAACAGAATCTGAGGTTCTCGTTTTGTATCATGAGCTACATTGTTTTGACAAGGAATCTTTATTATTTGTACTCATAGTATTTGAAAGTTTGTCAAAATACTGATTTCTGTCTCCGAAGGCCGACAGTTCCTGATTATTGTTCAAAGATATGGGGCATCTCATCACTGCCATCATACTAGCTAACAATCTAAATAAATCCATTTTTCATTTAATGCAGCAGTTAAGTGCAAAACAAAGAGAGCTAAGAACTAAGAAGTTGACTGATTTAAAAAAAGATAATCAAGGTACATTCCGATCAATTGGCAAGTGACGTCATCACGATATGTTCTAACTGTCCATCGAAGTTTTAGTATTTAGCATGTTGGCGTCAGAAACATAAACTTAAAGAAATCAATCTTTATAGGGTATCTAAAATACCAAGTCTACAGGAGTATTGCGAAAAACGCTGAAAGCAATCAGAGTTATCTTTCTTGTATTAGATCGAAAAGAAGAGCACAGTCATAGTAAAAACAAAATACTCACATGTTTACAAAAAAAGTTTTTAATGTCAATATGGCAAATAATGGTGAATTAACAGACTTAAAACTATGTGATGTATGTTTCAGTCAAGAACAAATAAAACAATGATAACAAATATTCATATATATCGAATGTGAAGAATAAAATGTTAATTATAATACGAACAAAAATATCGAATACATGTTATTTACTTGATACTATGGATGTCCGTTTTCATGTCAATCATATATACTGATACAATGTATTTTCTATTTGTTCAGCTTTGAATTGTTTGATTTGCCATTAATCACATCTGAAATGCCGGCGAATTTGTTAGAGTTACTCCCCTTACAATAATGCCTAATTGATTTTCACATACCTTCATCAATTGATTAACACAATCAACAATTGTCATTTGGGAAGGTACGTTTCTTAGTGTGGAACTCTTTACGGAAGGAGATTTATGTCACGGTAAGATAGTGAGCGTCCTTTATTCAATATTAAAAGTATTCCTTTTTTATTTGTGTTCGTTAAGCTACTTACAATACATGCTAAACATTCGATATCTTTTATCTTTTATTTGCCTTGCGTTTAAGTATATACCTCTTGAGTTATAATCATAATACTTCCAATTTATTGTAATTTTATACAAACTATTATCATCATTAGAAAATTGCAACTTCTATATACAGCAATACGAAAACATCATTAAAAAGACATATATATATTAAAGTGATATACTTGTTCCTGATATTTGACCGTTTTCACAAACTCCTGCAGGTAAAAAAACGTACATGTTTTCGATAACTCAAATAGGCAAGTATTTTTTTTTCCGAACATTCCGACTGGCATTTAATTGAAAATAAAACATATCTACGTTGTTTTAAAAATTGCTTGCCCTAAATGCTGTTTTTTTCTTCAGGTAAAATTGCATTACCAAAATAACTTTTCGTGTGAAACAATGACGTCATAATGACGCAAATATATCTGATACAGACGCTGTTTAAAATGTCTTCGAACTGGACCATTGAATGTTTTACTGTTCATTACAATTTCGTTTCAACCGTTTGAGATAACAGTATGGTTTAATATCACAGTGAAAATTTGCAATATATCAAATTCATGTGTTTGTATACAATTTTTCATATACTAATGTGCCATGTGCTTTAAAAAACAACAAACACGTGCTTATGCATTTCTCGCATCTTCAAAGATATTTTTTGACATGAACTGCAGACAAAATCAATAACAACATCATGAAGGAAGGCCAATGTCAATACCCATTGGCTATAATATTATTCAATTCACGTCTCGGTCCCTCTTGCGCAAACAGATTCAAATGTTTGAAAACTTGGATTAACACTACCGTCTATTGTTTCTGATGTAAACAACATTTCCACATCAGTTTCTTGAGTGTAGTTGTTCTTGATAATCTTGAATATTCAGATTTGATAATTTTTAATTTTAACAAACAAACAAAAGTGTATTGAATACTAGACCACAAGACATTTCGTGTGGGTGCCTTTTTATCATCTAACAAAGGGTTGTTTTTGTTTTATATATAAAAAAACCCAAAGTGGAATGTTACTAAATCATGTAAGCACTTTCTTTATTTCTCCTTTTTAAAGGATAGTAAGAATTTTACATTTCACAACCTTATAAAGTATCCATCATTTAAAGCATAATTCAAGAAAGTACGTACATTTTCGTTTGTAATAACAAGAAAATCAAATGGTTCAAAATCAGACCGATTATTATTGACCAATGGGTGATATTATAATATTTGTGACATAGCGTTATCATGCGTGAAAAGAGTGTGGCGTCGCTTCGTTAGGTTCTTCAAACAAAGACAATGATATGTGCTATATACATAAATATACATAAATTATTTTCTCGAAAATAATTGCAAAATGTTTGTATTCGTTTTCGCACCAAGCACAAAAAAACACTATAATTTCTTGTTATTTGTAATTTAATGTTACATTTCATATCATGACAAAATGTCGTCACGCTCTAGTAAACATAGTCATTAGATATATGAAGCAATGTGTAAACGCTTTATATTTGATTTGGAGGTAGCAATTAAAAGACTTTTGATTGTATTGTGAAAAAAAAACCATTTAAGAAGTTTAACCACGAACCACCTGTTTCCAATAAAACACGAAGAATTTTCTGCTTAATCACCAAAATAAATGGTTTTATCAAATTCTTTCCATATGAAAAAACATTAGAGGCATACTTTAAATGTTAAAAAGGACTTTTCCCCCTTGATCACACAAAATATTAAAATTTATGTTCGTACCATAAAAATAAGATGAAATTGGCACAAATTATATATTCTTTTTATAATACTTTGGTATATTTACCTAAAATAACCTAATGCTCATATTGTCACACGATAAATCTGATTTTTTTTTAGAAAACACCACCATGTTTGCCTTTCATCTTGAATACATGACGTCATGACATTGTTAAGTATGACGTCACAATTAGTGTTCATATCAAAACAATTGTGATAGGGATAATATTTTTTATCATGAAAAAAAGAAAAGAAAGCAAGTTTTCCTGCATTTGTTTACACCAATCTCTTTTTGCAAACTAATGCTACAAAATATTTCAACGTTGTGGTTTTTTTCTATGGTCCTGATGCATCCCAACTAAAGTCGACTACCGCGTGCATCTAGTTTGAGTAAGACGTAAGTAACGAAAGTAAGCTTCACAGTTTACGGGTATTTGATACCTTATTATGATGTTCCTTTCTTTCTCAACAGACTTCAACACGTTAAAAAAACTGTGAAATATCCTTCGTTTATTTTTTTTTAATAATCATAGATTACGCATCGAAGATTAATCAATATGCATTAAAACATGATAGTTCATTTTGAATAATTCTTTTCGTTTTGAAGGAAAAAGAACACAAGCAAGAATCCCTTGTAGAATGTGTAAGGTAGCATACTCCCTTAACAGTTTATATATGATAACATATTCATACATTCTCATTGGTTGACTCATAATTACATGGAAGTCGGCGATTTGTGATATAGGCCCGGTGTTACTATTTTTAGAAACAGCAGATTAATATCCTCTTTATGACGTCACTGTGAATGTAACGTCAAAATGCTGTCTCCTGAGTTCAGTACTGTTCTTTTGACGACTTAAGTACATTCCATATTGTTTGATAGTGAAAGCAGCGTCATTTGGCATCCATTATACCAATTACGGATTTTTGTTCTTGAAGTGAATATGTAGTTTTATAAACCTGATAAGTTATATCGACCTCGACGTTGTCACGGTCAATATATCCTTTTCAGTTCCATATAACCACATATATATCCCAACAAAAAATCCATAATTGCCATATAAAGCAACATATAGTAAACTGACGGCATGATTTCCCGTTTCCCGATATTGTTATTATAATATTACAAACGCAACTAAATTGCAGTCATCAGTTTTCTTTAAAATTAATTTTCAATGAAAAAAAATATTGCAAATTCAAATTTCCATTATATTACATGTATAATAATCCATTTTTCAATTTTTATTTTCGCTTCCACTCCAACCCAAAGGGGATTTATGACATCAAAACTCGTCATCTGAAGAGTTCGTGAGTAGTATGACCTGATCATTCTGCGTTGCATATCTCTGTAATGAAAGAAAAAAAACCAATCCAATTTAAAGCAGTTAATGAAAAGACATTAGTTTATCTATATTATTCCCCCAAAAATCATAAAATCAAATCGTTGTAAAACTAAAACTGCCATCTAAATATCGCCATTGCGTGTCGGATAGCATAGCATTGCCTGGCACGAACAATGGTGAATTGAAATATAATACATGTATCGTTGCACACTTGGTTTCCATTATATTCAATTTAACTGCAATTTGATTTTTTTTCCAGATCCAAAATGATATACGAATACTTTGACTCTGTTGTGTTCGTTGTTGAAGCTATTATTGACAGTCATTTGGCACGGCTTGCTGGTGAAACGACAATAAAAATGGCTTTTCGTGACATTGTGCTGTGTTTAGTTTTTGGTCTCCGGCGGATGGAACTAGCAATCAAGAGACACTCAAATTATAAAAACCGAGTAGCGAATTGATTTGGGGATATATATCTCAGACGCTGTTTTGTTTCTGGGCTTGTAATTTGCTCTAGGCACGAGTCACGTTGATAATTTTACTTGCAAGTAGTACAATGAAAACAATTCTAGAAAATGCAGTTATTTCTCCCAAGAGTTTAGCCCCATTTGTCAACTACGTAAGAAAACAACACAAAGGATATACATCATGTTGATCATGTGATCTGAAGACGTCAATAATTGTTGAAAAATCTTCCTTGCGTTTTCTTCGAATTTGGATAAATCAATTACAACATACAAAGAACATTATTCATTGCAGTTGTATTTTATGAGTAGAAAAGAATGCAAAACCCTTCTTTCAATTTTGGACAGTTGATCAGATAGGATTTAAATAGAGGATTATGTAATAATGATTTTCTTTTCGTATTTATCAAGTGCATATCTATTCAAAAACTGTACATACGCGTTCTTTTCACAAAAGCAAAATAATTAACATTCGTAAAACAGGTCTAGATACAACGATATTGCCATAAATCTCAGTAAATTTGGTTTTGGGATAAATGAAGTATTTACCAGTAACTTATATCTTAATGTATACTGGCTACATACAACGCTTGAAGTTATTTCCGTTCATCAAATCAATTCAAATGAAGGACCCTTTAACTGTTGGCAAAGTCTTAAAATGTTCTAAGTAAAACATAACGAAACATTCTTAAAATGCAACAATGTTAAATGTACAGGGAATTAACAAAAATCCCCGTACCACTGCCAATAACTGTAACTATGTGTTGTTGTTTTCCCGACATGACTCCAGCTAAGACAAATCGTTTCTACAAAGGAAACCATACCGTTCGGGACTTTTATAATAAATGATAAAGATGATATAAACAAAATGTGATCATTAACAGTGCTTTGATTGTAAAAAAATCAGCATGGGTTGCCCGGGATTCGAACCCTTGACCTCAGATTATTATACTATTGCTCTAGCCGTTAGAGCTACACGGCCAAAAAATATGCCCTGGCCCAATTGTGCTACAGATATATCGAAACGGGAAGGTTACTGTATGTCGGGGAAAACCCCCAATTCAGAAGGACCCAGTTGTTCTATGCCACTAAAAAGAGAAATCCTTGCATTGCGTTCCTATGTATATGTTGTCATTGCGGTGGTAGTAAAATCGACTTAAGACGCAACAATGGAGTTTTCAAACATTATTGCATCGAGATATCCTGCAAAGCTCAGGGATAACTAGCGTTATGTGACAGTACCATGGTATTCGTTCAATACATGCTTGATTAATCGAAATAATTACAACGCATTTATAAATTATTACTGTCAGAGAGTTTGAAACACTGTCAGTGTAAATAAAGGTAAGGAGTCCGACGAAGAGGACCTGACAGGACCTGTGTTGGAAAACCACCATAAGTAAGTAAGTAAGTAAATAAAGGTCCTCTGGGGATTAGGTGTTTAATACACTAGTACTATAAGCGGGACATTTCCTCTGCTGTTTAATTTTGGCCTCTTTCGCCCACTCTTATTACAGCGAGTATCAGTAGACAGCATAATATATATAGATATTTCATGTGGAGGGCGAAATTAACACTGGGTGAAGATTTTTTTGTATATGGTACATCAATAGCGCGCAGTCTCGAGCGGTTATCATCGTCCGGGTGAAACACATGATGAAAATTTAAAGGTAGATGGAACCCTTAAAATGTGCGAGAGTAGAATGCGTTGTTACTTGACTTCCCAACTGCATTGAATGCTAGTAGTTGTTTTTAAGACGTTTTTGTACACTTTCTCGAACTTAAGTATGCTCAGAACATCATTCTGGTAGACAAAACGAAAAGCTATCGTCTTTTTTTCATGAAAACGTTTGTTATTACTTTTATACTTTGATGATATAAATGATTCCAAAGCTCTTAATTTTCTTTTGACAAGAAATACATATCGATAAAGCTTTCATTGAAATAAGAGTATGATATTTCGGACAAAGGCATCTATATATTTTTCTGAACTTTGCACGACAATGCTACGAAGGTCTTGCTGATAAATCATTAAAATGTATATGTAGGTGGTACGTTTCACTTGAAAGTATTTTATATCATTTGTCAAGTATTCAAGATTATGAAATAAAGTGTATTTGCTCAGGAGCCCGCTTTATAGATTGCATATGTTCATATCAATTATACATAGTGTTTAATTCCAAAAATGAAATTATCGAACGGATATGCGTAAGCTAGGAACTATGAAACACTGATATGATTTATGGATTCTCCACTATAACATGACCCATACGACAAATGAAAAACAGTTTTGACACGGTTGGGGTTTCGATAAGATCAAGCTGACTCAGTTATTGAGCTTCCGTCATTATATTGACGTCGAGAGGTCTTGGTGGCCTGGTTATTTCATTTCGAAAAATGTTATTGAATACAAGTAAAAGGGGAAGCCCATATAAGTCTATATGCTTAATGCAATTACTATCTGATATGTAGGTAACAAGATGAGTAGAAGGCTTTACGAATATTTAAGCATTGAACTGTTTTTGTATGATATTTATGATCTATTTGAATGACACAGCTTTGCAAGCAAACAACATAATGCGCGCTGAGGAACCGTGGATCCGAGACGCGTGAAACTGATAGCGTTTGAAGTGAGTGATCTTGCGACGGAGCACAGGTTCGTTACAAATGTCTGAAACGACGAATGTTTATGTGTGCTGTGACTCATCAGTAGGTCTGTTACATATGTGTCAGTAGGTCTATAGAATATGTGTATTTCAGACATTTATAACGAACCCCTGTTGATCAGTGCAGTGTAACAGACGATATTTCTGATAAATTGCATGAGCGTTAAAATGGTTTCCATTGCCGGCATTGGTGATTTCAACCGATGTGCATTTTGTACGATATTGCAGACCTTGGTCTTGTTTTCGTTGTAATAAAAGTGTTTTTTATTTTATTTTTTATTTTGCACATCAATTTACAATGACATTATCAAATCTCACAATGCCCAGCGATATTTCAGCAGCCGTCATGTTTATTTACATTGGATATTGTAGTTCCGGTCAGTGTTGTAATTAATACGCTAAGAATTGTGTCTCGTGCGGCATGGTAATTATGGCTCGTGCGTCATGGTAATTAAAGTCCCATCAACGACACAGCTCTCAAAGAGGCTATATAGTGACAATGCCATGCAAATGTAAATATTAAATAATGAAACAATTATTCTAAATTTGTCCCCGACAGGGCTCGAGGATATGTAAGCTACGCAGTTGTCTGCTGTATTCATTCAATGAGCACTGAGCATAGGACGACTTATGTCGATTCAGATGTATTTTTTAATTCTCAACATGTTTTTATTCATAGACTGTACTTTGTCCAGTTCAACAAAATCACGCTCTTTGATTTCAGTGTGTTGGTGTGTTTGGGAAAATTCATCAAAAGAAATAATTTGAAATCAATTAAATAAACCAAGAACTTGACGTACAGTCGAACTTGCTCTTACAGAATGTGACGTGAATGTGTCCATTGTTCAAAGTCTGGTTAGCTTAATATGCTTAATGCAAAATGTCAACATGCAATTTTTGAAAGATTATGAACTTTCTTTTGCTTTTCCTGTTTTAAGACTATCACTCTTATTCCGCTTCATTTAATTTCAATTATGATTATTTTTAAATTAATTCCTTTAAGTTTTGTGTTAAACTGTCCTGGAAAATGGCCCTTTTTTGCTATTTTAGTTAACTCGTTTACAGCTCTGATCTAGTGCCGTTATATTTTCGCGTAAAAACAACACCAACTCTCGGCGTGTTTCGTGATTGCTAGCTCTGCTTTTTATATTTTGTAAATTAACAACAGTCGCGGTCATGTTGTATTGGTGAATTCACTCATCGGAGGAATTAACGTAAATAACGGGACCGCAAAAAATATTCTGTATATCAAACACAACTTTCTTCATGTTTTTTAAAGTTTGATGGTCTCGGCATAACGATAATTTACTGTACTCAATTGCTTTTAATAATAGTTGAGTTTCCCATATATATCGGATACTCTTCTCAGTATCATTCTGTTAGTAAGAGATAACAGAACTGTAGTTCCAACTAAAACTCTCGATACTGGGGCAACATGTGAACAAAGGAAAAAATTCCATTGAAACCATTGAGGAAGTAAAAAGATGACAACGACCAATTGTTCCGGAGGGGTAAACATTTTCTGTTTCATCGACGACACCCGTCACGTAAATCTAGGTCAAATCCAAGTAATTTCAGCAGAACAACGAAACAGCAACGCACACTAGTACTAATGAGCTTATCGAAACCATCGACCTTCATATCTCACATTTCTTAATGAGATAATGTCAGAAGTAACGGGCAGAAAGGGATGGTTCATTAGCTCCTATTTCACAGCTTGAAACCAATGATCTATGCATCTGGATTCTTTTTCACTATTTATTAAAAAGTGATTTGAAGCGCGATTTAGTAGATTTGTGTCGATATGATGGAATCGTTTTCCTTCTGATTTTAAATTTTGTTATCTTTCTTCACAACAATTTGAAATTAACGAATCGTTTTCCTTCTGATTGTACATTTTTTAATCTTTCTTCACAGCAATTTGAAATAAAAGAATCGTTTTCCTTTGTAATGTAAATTTTGTAATCTTTCCTTACAGCAATTTGAAATAGACAGACTTTTGCATTTTATGAGCGATATCGGTGAATAGATAACATTGCATATTTAGATAATGATGGGAAACCACTGTTGCTATTGATACGGTTTGGAGTTGCAATCTTTGATAATGAAACAAAGAAATAACGTAGGAGAGTCAATAACAGGTTTTGTTGGATGTTTATTACTCTGACATTTTCAATATCATCTATGATCAACTCATGGCCCATAACCTGCCATTTGTAAAGTAAAATAAATGTGTATTACGGCTATGAATCATAATCATAACTGCATATAGCTTGCCCAAAGAGACACACAAAATATGATTCCAGATAGCAATGAAGAGCCCCAGGGCAAAATCAATATCAGTCAACGACGAGCCGATATTGATATGTTTACAATGAGCAAGACAGGAAAAAAATCGTTTGATAAATCGTACAAACTGGTCCCAGAGGAAGTAAATATTGCTTCAGATTTCAAATAACATTTGGTTCGTATTACACCAGTTCTTGAAACTAAATTTCTTTCCCAAAACAAAATACATCGGTTTAATCTGGCATCTGAAAAACGAGTAAACGAATGATATTCTAAATATTAATATTTATACATAATGTGAAAATGCTAAAAAGTACAAGATTTTTTCTTTGACCTGTACCTTTTGGATGGTTTCCCGGATTTCTTGCATTTTCCTCTCGTGCCGATGACAGAAGCGAACCACATACGCCATGGATATGATGCACACGGCACCAATTATGCCGATCCCTATTGGGACAAGCACAGTGATCAAGTACTTCTTGTCCTGTGAAAACAAAACATATATTGAAAGCAGAGCTTGTGTGTGTGTGTGTGTGTGTGTGTGTGTGTGTGTGGGNGGGGTCAATTATATATCCCAAATAGCCAGTCAATATGTAAAATTACACAGTGAAACAGCAAATACTAGCGCAGTAAACTAATAAAGGACCTACTAGTAAACAATTTTTGGTAAGGAGCGAAAAAAGGATTGCCATCATACTGGAGAAAGACTGAATGTGGTGAGAGGATGAATTCGTCCGTAGGACACGAATGGTCAAGAGATAGCATGGCAATAACAAAACACAGTGATGTTCTTAACACTCTAGTGATGACCTGAAAGCTCTGTGGATGACTTAACAAATCTAGTGATGACCTAGCAATGACCTTAAAACTCTAGTGATGACATAGAAACTCTAGTGATGAACTAAAACTCTAGTGATGACTATCGTGATGACCTGAAAGCTCTGTGGATGACCAAAAAACTCTAGTGATGACCTAAAAACTCTAGTGATGACCTAGTGATGATCTATAAAATCAAGTGATGACCTAAAACTCTAGTGATGACATAGAAACTCTAGTGATGATTTAAAGTAATCCTTACATGTTCAACGAAATATAACTTGTTTGTTCAATATCAGGTTTGGTTACACGCAAGTCGCTTGTTTGTTGCAACTTCCGTTTGCCTTTAATTGCACAAACGCCTTAAATAACATATAGATTTGCTTAGAAAAGGAACTACTACAGCAAGTCACACCAAAGGGAACAACTTGTAGCATAAACGAGCTATCTCGGAGAAGTCAACAATTTGTTTTTTTTATAAACAGTGGATAATGGTTAAAGTAACAGGAAGGTAAATGATTCTCGAATACCAAACGACGGACAATCTGGTTAACGTTATAATAAATGTTCATATTTTAACGTCAAAATTTGGTATGTATTATGACCTCATTTGTCTTGATATACAAGTACTGAAACATAAGTTCGAAATAATCGTGTTTCCATATAAATCATTTCAACCTTGATATTTAGGTAGCATTTGCTTAATGCTTTATTTAAAGGGTAATTGTAGCTATAACTTATTATTTAATCACATACATATCCTCATTGTATTAAATTCTTACCTTCACACATTTCTACAAAATCATAAAATATTAACGTAACACACACACACACACACACACACACACACACTGGTGATGTACCTTTAAATTTCGTAATAGATACAGTATGCCAAAATGCATTACATAACATGATACAGTTGTTATTTCTTTCTAGGACCCATCAATTCGGCTAGGGGCAACAAAGTTGGAAAGTTGTTTAAAACTTCCGTTGAAACCAAAGAGGAGGTGCATAAAAACATTATTTTTAGAAAAAACGCGATATAATATGTCATCCAGTAACTGCAGCCCAACTTAACCTGAAGGAAAAAACATGTTCATAATGTTTATTCTCCTGATAACACGATCAAGTATCCGTTTCCATATTTATTGATATAGTTCTACTGATCGTGAAGCAGGGGATATTTGTGAAACAAACACATTTCCTGATATATTTTTTCTTTCAGAATAAATATTTTTTAAGATTCTACTAGAATTCTCGTCCGAGACAAAACCTTTATTCAACTGCTTTTAAATAAATGGGGAAAATTGTCGAATTCAACTCAGTAAAATACTGATCTTTTGACCACATCTAAATCCGGTGTTATGATTTAGAAGGAAAGATAATGTATTGATATGAAGTTAATAAAGCTTCTATGGAAAATCAGAATCCGGGAATGAAATAGTGCTAATCTTTAGAAATCCAAATCCAAATCAATTTCAAAATGTCAGACTATAGTGGATTTCTTAAAGGATTTGATATTTGTTCCTCCGTTGTTGACGGTAAATATTCTGTTAAGCCTTTGTCACGGCTTCCCGTGGTGATATAACTCTTTAGATTAATATTTCAAGAAGCAAATTAGATCTTCTTGAAAGTGTGCCATTCCTTAGAAATTCATTAAATTTAAAATTGTGTCACGGCATGAAAAAATACAGTTTCAAGCCGCCTGCATTTGTGTCCTAAATGAAAGAATCCACTTTTGTCGTTCATTACTTAGGATTAATTGGAAAAAGGTTTATTTTTAAATGTTTCCCGTTTTTATTGGAATAAGATTGACGATGAGGAGTAACATCAGTTGGTTTGAATTGAGACTTACCCTCCAAATCAGACTTCCGAATGGCCCATCTTCTATTGGAACTGTAAACAGAAACGAGAGGACAAGTTTGAACAAAAGACATATGAGGATAAGTTTAAATACCCATATGATTGTATTCAAGAGAGAAATATGACAAATTCTCTTTATGCTGGCTAGTGTAATGCAGATATACATTGCCAAATGTTCTTTTTTTTCGCGAATCATACATTTCGGATGAAACCTGAGACAAAATTTAAAAACCACAAGGAAAAAAACTTTTCCCACCTAACATTGCATATGAACGACATTTTTTCACCGAATATTGTCAACTTGAAGTTTTCTAAAAAAATATTTCCCTGTTTTTTAAACAAATTAACAAAAGAAATAAATTCTTAGTACTCCTGAAACTGCCTTATCGTCACTACCGTTTTTCTGAGAACCTCGTGAATTATTATTATTTTTCCACAATAGTTTCCTATGGCTTTCAAACCTTAAAAACTACTGTACTTTTATTGTTGCACAGGAACATATATCATTCCTTGAGACAGATACTGGTCATGTTATATATTCATTGTAAGTGTGTAAACATATTGAACAGCAGAGTTACTTCCCTTTGTAATTATTTTTACACGCATTTATATAAACCCATATAAGAAAACAGTATCGAGCATGGATATCTTACACAAGCAAAGCGTATAGAATTGGATTTAAGAGAGAAAAATCTGTCAGGCATCCGGTTATTTTCTTGTCTTTCATCACGTTATAAAAATTCGATGAACTCTCGTCATATTCAGACTGAACAGCAATGCAGCTGCCGAATCAGCCACACTAAATGTTTTTTTGTCCTTGAATGCCATTTTTGATGACAGAAAGTGAAAAAAAAAGTAACACTAAGTTTAAGCTATACTTCTATAAAGTTTTGGTTAAAGACTTTAGATTAAAAAAAGATTGGTAATAAATACGGGGTAAGAGCATAGAAAAGTATCTGTCTCTTGTCACAACATGCATACCTTCAATTACTTCAATATATTAACCAACATCACTTTAATGATAATAATAATATACAGCATTTGATATAGCGCCCTATCTACCTAAACTAAGCCACTCTAAAGCGCTTTACAGTACATAGATATAAAATGTATACAACTGATACAATCAATACAATTATCATATACATTAAGCAATACAATTTTTAGGAATTCGCAGAAGCTGCCTTATCAGGCGCTAACTATTAGTCCTATGTCACCTTGCTACTATATCCATGTGTGTGTATTCCTGCGTGGGATGTATTGTGTTCTGTTTGTAGTGGGACCGTGCTTCCAACGGTATAATTTACAGTGCCACCTCACTTGAATGCAGCAGCACATATACCGCAACATCCACCCCAGACCATTTAATACTCCACATGGGTTGTTGGAGTTGTATGGGCAGGAGAAAAACATTTTTTTTTTGTAGAGACAGCACACATTGTACATGGTACTCGGAAAAGTTAGATTTCCGGCGGAGATTTGGAATACTATACAACGCTTATAGACACATTTGTTTACAGGTTTATGTTCACTGTCATCATCCCGAAAAAACTGCTAATTTAGATACATAGCGAAAGCTCCATGTTATTAAGTAACAAACCTTCCAGCGTTCAAGAAAATAGAGTTATTAAGTTGTTTATGATTTCGTCCCAAAACTGATATTTTGTAATGGTTAAAGCAACTGTTAAAGAGGATTTATTGTGCAGAGTTACAATGGATACAGTAGATATTCGCAAAACTAAGAGATTTAAGGCATCAAAGATATAAAAGAATAAGCACAAAATTAAAAGAAATCCCACAAGAGCCGATTAATTGCAGAGAAAACCTATCTTAATGCAGTAAAGTGGTTCGGTGTATGCCACGGCTATCAAGATGCTGATTTGCTGTGTCGTATCGGCAATCGTTTTATGCCTGCTAATTGAAATAGAGGATTATTTATAGATATGATTGCGTTTATGCATGTGCAGTTAACACTTTACTTTTAATGCTTCCTAATTATTTTCTTACAGTGGATTCTCTCGTCATGGTATTTAGCTCTGATGCGCGGCTATGATTACAAAAGACACTTCTAATTCCATGAAGTTTAATCAAGTCAATAGTTGCTGTTTTAGGAGATGATCTGAACACGGATGCTGTGTAATTAATGTACATCTGGGGAAACTAATCAGTGGTTGATTAGACCAATATGTCTCGGCATTCAATCAAGGACGAAGTATGTGTCACAATGTTTGTTTACGTAAGTAGAACATTTTGTTGTCTATTTGGTAACATTCTAATTGCAGATTTCTTTATATTACGTCCGCTTCTGTGTAAACTCATCTCGAACCGTTGATTATCCCCTTCTCCTTTATCCTCTTATCAAGCGGAGAGTTTATTGCTGGTGTCCAATCAGGTATAATCTGATAACCAGAAAGGATTTTACATTCATTTTCGAATAAAAACTTTAAAAAAATGTGACCTTTTCTATCATTGATAGAAGCATTTAAAACCGTTTGTACAACAAAATTGGAAAGTTTTTACCCCTTTTTATTTTCGTTCTTTTCGCTTTTTCGAATTAGAACAATATAGACACAACGGGGTGTTTCCCGTATTTATGTCGACACAACGGGGTTTTCCTGTATTTATATCGACACAACGGGGTTTTACCTGTGTTTATGTCGACACAACGGGGTTTTCCGGTATAATTATCGAGACAATGGGAGTTTTCCGTATTTAAATCGACACAACGGGGTTTCCCTGTATTTTTATCATGCTATTAACGTAGAATGTATTATATTGTTACCTTTCAGTTAAGATTGTGAAGAGTATTGAAACATCCACGATTTCAAAGGATGACACCGAAGGGTTCTTGATACCGCAAACAATATCATTTGATTTGTGCTAGAATTATCTCCCTTTGTGTTTTGAAAAGCATTTTGCATTAATTTAGCATTATCTGAATGTTACCAATTTACGCACTCTTGTTTACCTGTATATACAGTATAACAACCGTTCAGGAGCTAAAACAAATCAGTGGATTGTTTCTGCAAATTAGTTGTATGTTATAATAAGGCAGGATAATCCTTAAATCAAGATTTTGGTGTGACTGGCTACCGATCATTCTGATATAAAAATGAAGATGTGACCTCCAATCTTAGACAGCACGAGATTTGACGTGGTTGCAATGCATTCTACGTTAAGATAGCAATAGCTATTGAGGCGGCCATTGAGTGCTTTGTTGTCGTGACATATCTGGCAATTTCCAAGAAATTCGCTTGGAATTAACGATATTCATCTCAATCAATTGGTTTTTTTGCCCCATTATATTTTGTGATATTATTAAACTACATAGGATGAATGTCTGTGGAAATACTGTTTTCCCGAAAACACAAATAGCCATTTCCATGATATTAGCAATAGAGATCAATGTGCTTTTAGATTCAGAACGACTCTCGTTTTACCGTTATGGATTTCCTCCTTAATTGCCTTGCCAAAGAATGACAAAAGATTTTATTAACTCGTTTTGCCGTTGGCATCTTAGGATATGTTTTCTGATGTGACAGTAGGAAAAGCAACAAGGAAACAACATGCACTAAGAAACCCTTTCCAATACACTCAATTTAGAGTCATATTCTCCAATCAGGATATATATTCTTGTTACCCTGCAAAAGAATGCAGTAAATGCAATCTATATTTAGATTCGAATATGCACATTGTTTCTTTAAATCGAAACTTTCATTTCCGCTCCACTTCAATATCAATTGGAACGAAAATTAGACTGTCAAAATGTATTTGTTCGATTTTTGAAACTCAGAAAGGCCGATATTGTTTGGCCTTTTAGACTCATGACAAATGTCTTCTGGAGTTTTCACCGACCTAAACAAAAATCAATGATGTAGCTTTACTGCTGCTATAAGTTGTATTCTGGCACAGAAATAATTTCTTTCTTGATATTCTAAACCTCTTGACATTGCTTGTTCGGAATAACACTTGTATAGTGTGTTTCTGACTAGACAAGTGTTAATATGTCTGTGAACAAAAATGTCAGAACTAATATCCAGAGTCACGTTTAAAGGGTTTCCAGACACAAATTCAGATTTCCAAACTTGAATATTTTGGAAGGTCGTGACAAACACATTCACATATTTATTATATTTTTGAATAACAAATATTGTGGAGAGAGATTCGTTCTTAAGATGAATACTTTCTTCCTTCACTCCCTGACTTAATTATCACCAAAGTATTGAGAGTGTCTCAAGCTGAGGTCAAAATAAATCTCCAGTATTTTATTTTTCCATAATTTCTCAAAAATCGAATTTTGCAGAATTTGCATTCGTTTCGCATTGAGGTAACCATGCTTTGAAACGCTTGGTCCTGAATATTTATTTGTAGTTAATGGTAGGGATACCCGCTGGTATTACGTGTCATGTGTAACTCGTTGTGTCCCTTAAACGACTACTTGACATCCAAGCATCGGTTAAAGTCGACTACTGAGAGTTGAAATGTCCATTATCGTCTTTTATTGCTACCAAGTGCCATTTATTATTTAACAAGTACATGCAAACTCTTCGCTTGATAAAGACCAAGATGTGAATAAGACATTCAAAATAGCACCTAAATTGGAGGAAACATACGATTTTGCGACACAGATGAAAGCGTAGAGTTTCAAACGTCACTCAGTCAACACCTTATCTTTATACCAACACAAATTATACCATTTGTACCGGAATCGTGTCGACTTCTTCAGGCCGAAATTTACTGACTTTCAATTACCATCCATCAGTTTGCGGAAGAAGCAAACGAACGGTTCTTTATTAAGAAGTCTCCAGGCAATGTTACGTGAAATTCAAAGTCTTTATGTCAAGGAAATTGAGCCCAGGCACGTCTCGACAGAACGCCAGGGACAAGGGTTTAGCAATGTTACGTAAATCTTTGTATCGTGTAACTTTCGGGGAAAATATATATATAAAAAAGTTATTATATTCAAAATTGGTCGCCTTGTAGGCATTCTCCAAACAAACAAACAAAACGAATCTTAATAGAGGTCTCCAGAA